GAGTAGAGAGTGGGAATGGAGTCAATGGAATTGTAATAGATATGTATGATATCGGGGGTGGGGGGCAGTGGATGGGAGAGGGGGGTGGTCACTTTGTGAGGGGTGAAAAGGATAACTATTGCATTGTTTTGTACACCTGAAACTAATAATAAAAATTTTTTTAAAAAGTACAGCCTGAGCTGTATCTAGCCACAACAACTACAGCACTCACACTACAGTCATTAAAAAGATGTGGATTACCAAGGCAAAAAAATTGGCACTCTATTATCCTCTGTATTGTACTGCGCTAAAATGAGGGAGTAGGAAGAAAAAGCATGATTCTTATGCTACTACACAGAAAAATGCATTCTATGTTCTTCCCGATATCGGGTCGCTCCTTTTTCACACATGGAATGTGCGAGAGCAGGGGTGGTAAAGAGCGAGTGGGAGAGATGGCATGCAGGACTCAATTTCAGTAAACACTTTAGAAAACTTTAGCGATGACCAAGCAGCTTTCAAGTAAGGCACTCTTCATGCTAACAGAACTGCGAGGATATGGTTTTGATGACTGTAAACATATAAATTATTGGGTTGTCAGAAAAGTCATGACGTATTTTTTTCTATGTTTTTCGTTGCAAAAATGCATCATGACTTTTCCAACAACCCAATATTAGTGCGTCCTTGAAATGTGTTTTCCTGATGCCAGCAAACAGTGGTTCCCACTGCGGTAACCACATTGTCCTGTTGAGCTTGTGTCATTTTTCTGAGCAAGTCCAAACGACTAAAAAATCAGATGCCCATGGAATTCTTGTGGAATATTTCACACAAAGATGTGTCATTAAACAATAACACAATACTGACATGTGACATGTGCACAAAAAACTCAACTTGCGCATCCTTTATGTAGCAGAAAATGTATTTCTAATGTCTCATATTTATAATTCCAAGGCCAAATCTCCTGGTATTTAAATTCCTAATCCATGTCTTTCTGTTTTACCTATTGGTGAGTATACTTATACCACATATTGGAACAGAGTACATTATGAATACCAGCACATTATGATAAATATGTGATACATTATAATAAATATATCAATCTTAAAAAATATGGCAATATGACTTCTGGTTTGCAGTCTGGCATATAAGAGCTTGGAAAATGTCACTTGCGTCCATACAACAAAAAAATTTGAACACCGTGAAAACCAACAACTCTTCTTAGATCCATTGAGAACTGGGATCACAGAGAGAACCACTGTCCCCCGATTTGCAGAGATGGGCAGATACAGAAAATCACAATTACCGGGGCAGAAACTGTGAGTAGAAACCTCCAAAGAGAGTGTCTAGCACCAGTGGAGGAAAACCTAAATTGTACCTGATGAATTGCTGGAAGATCAGCGTAGACAAGTTTGAGTTAAAAACTCCAGGGGGACCAGTCTCATGAGGGGCCCCACACTTGTGTTGAGTTTTGCCTCCAGAATTCTACCATGTTCTCAAAGTCCAGATAAGAGAACATCTCCTTGTGCTTTGGTAAAGAGAGGGGAAAGGTGGCCATTTTTAAATAAGCTGAAGCATTTTCTTCTTCTTAACAAAGCCTACCCTCAAGAGAAACTGTTTTACCAGAGCATAAACGACTGCAGGTTTACCAGAAACTAACCAGCGCTGGGGAAGAGAAATATCCAACTCTAGCCCACTCTAGCTTTCCAGGTAGGGAAAGGGAAATAAATACTCACCTCCAGCCCCTCTGGCCTTTTTATTTCAACTAAGGAGGAAAAGACAAAACAGAACTGAGAAGCACTTGTGAGGGTCCCTGCACAAGGGCACAGCTCATTACAAGGCTGGAACCTGTGCACCGTAGCATGGTAAACTTCCCCTTCCCACCACCTTATGGCCACATCAGCAGGGCTCGCATATAACAGGGATGAATAGTTAAGAAGTCTCTAGGGAAACCCAAAGACAAAACCAAGGACACTGAAGGAAATTTTATCCTGACTCCTACAGCTACAGCAACCCCTACCTAACCCCTAGCCAGATAAACATAAAACCTCATAATAAAAGCCTATTTTCCTTTTACCCAGTATTAACACATCTGACTTTCAACAAAAAATTACAAGGCCTACTAAAAGCAATATGGCAATAGGATTCAAGTATTCTAAAATCCTTAAAAATTTTTGAAAACATAATCCTTGGTAATATAGATAATAAATTATACACAATAACTTAAATGTAAACATACATTCACTAAAATATACATTCCTTTCATGCTTAAGTAAATTAGAACCTTTCCCTTTAGAGTCAACAAAAGCAAGGGTGCTCAGCCATCACTGACATTATTCAACATCATCCTGGAAGTTTTATCAATGCCATATGATACCAACCATACAAAAGGGTTAGGTATCAAAAAATTATCTCCAGAGAGATAATTAGAGAATAAAAAGTGTTCAGTAAAGCATCTGGATAAAAAATTAGTGTATTAAAATTATTAGTTTCCTAAATACTAGAAAACTCTATTAGGAAATGTAATAGAAAAACAATTTCATTCAGAAGAGTAATAAAAATCTATAAAATATCTAGAATATATCTAGTAAGAAATTTGCAAAACTTCCATGATGAAATTTTTAAGCTTTACAAAAAGAATATGAAAAGATCTATAGAAATGAAAACATGTTTCTCAATGGGATTACTCAAAAATTTAAAGATGTCAATTCTCAACCAATTACACTCTAAATTTAATGCAATCCTAAAGTAAACACTTATAGAATCAAAATTATGATTATGAAACATCTCAAAGAAAAGATATGAAGAAAAACATAATAAGGACCCATATAACAACAATCCAGCTAATACAGTTGAAAAAGATTTGTTACCAGACAAAAACAAACCAACCAACCAATCCAGGGTAGTGGCACAGGTGTAGTAAACACATGTACCAAAGGAACAGATTTCAGAAATGGACTCTTAAACATATGAAAACATAGTATATAATAAAGATGACATTTCAAATCACTAATAAAAAGATTGGCTATTTAATAAACTGTCTTTAGATAGTTGATTAGCATGAAAGAAGAGTTAGACCCCTATCTCACACCCATAAATCAATCTTCCACACTTCATGAATCAATGAGCTAAATGTTAAAAACCAAAATTATAAAAGTAGCAAAAGGGAAGACAGCAGAATGAGCAGCACCAGAAATCTGCACCCCACCCCAACAACTGCATGGGGAACATCTGTCAGAGATAACTATTTTGGAACTCGACTTAGATGGTAAACTGCAGTTAATTCAGTCAATGTCAGCTTTTAGCACAGTGGCAGCTAGCCCTCCGCCACCCCCAGCTGTTGTGTTCCTAGAGCAGCTTGCACATAGCTCATGGGAGCTAGAGTGGGCAAAAAGGACCCTGTCCTCCAAACGGCTCTGCTTCTGACCACAGAGAAGCAGACAAAGAGGTAGGAGTCACCTCCCCACACTGCCACAAGCCCCTCTCCTCTGGCTGTGGTGACTTTCAGGGGATTTTAAAAGCCAGCACGTGTTCTCCTCATCCCCCCCAAACCCCTTCATTTTTCATTTCTTCCTTTTTCAGGAGCCAGACTTCAGTTAAAGACTAGGACACTTAAAAACAATTGCATATATGAGGAAAATTAGAAAGCGATTGTCATGCCCAGGGAAAGGCTTAGAAAAGACTTGAAAAGAAGTTAATGTTACACCTCAGTCTTCCTTTGATGTTGTTCTAAATGTAAACAAAACAATAAAATATAAATTCATTTATTCATCCAACCATTCAGCCAGCCAGCTACATTCTCCAAGGTATTGGATTTGAGCCTTTAGATACAACGTAAATGTGGTCAGGGCCCTTTCAAGAATTCAAAACGTGGTGGGAGGGACTACAGAACAGATTCACTAGGCAAGAAGTCCCATGCTGTAACAGAAAAATGAACTAAAGATCTGGTGGGAATACAGATGAGGTATTAGCTCAATCAGAAGACAGCGGGGGGAGATTTTATAGACGTGGCGTTTGATCTAAGCATTTAAAAGACAAACAGAAAACTGGAGGTTGGAGGGCAGAATTTTGGTAGAGGTGATAACATATGCATAGTTTAGAAGGCACTAAAAAGTGGGGCATGTACCAAAAAGTCAGCTAAGACCACTTACTATTTATGTGCCTTTGTGCAAAAAAAACATCTATTTCAACTGAAAGATCAGGATAATGGTATCTTCCTCAAAGGGCTGCTGTGAGGAAAAGGAGATGGTAAACCATGAAGGATGTGAGTGCGATCTGGCTGTCGCCATCTTCCACCCCCATCTCTTCCTGTCAGTTCCCCAGAAGTCACCTACTTGGTAGAAGAGCAGTTCCTTCTCAGTCATGAACATGGTCTAGCACAGTTCTTCACACATCGTATTTACTCAAAAAACATTCATTTCCAGCCGGCCGAGTGGCACGTTGGGTAAGAGCTGGCTTGGGACGCCAGAGGGCCCCGGTTCGGATCCCACATGAGGGCCAGTGACACCGCCCTCTACATCTTAGATGCTGAACAACAGCTCAACCTGGAGCTGGGCTGCCGTGAGTCACCGGCTACAGCATAGGCCACAGCCCCTGCTGCAGTGGGTTGCCATGGGCTACCGTGTGTAGCCAGCAGCCAGCGTGAGCAGCCAGCAGCCTCAGTGAGTGGCCGTCCAGAAGCCGGCGACTGATCTGCCTCGCCCGGGAAGAGCACAATGATAACACCAACTTGGGCCAGTGAAGCAATGTCCTACACAACTAGACTGAAGAACAAAAGGACAGCAACTTGTCTGTTCCCCTTACCCCAATTCCCCAGCACTGTTCCCCTCCCCCAATTCCCCAATAAAACCTTTAAAAAAAAAACATTCATTTCTTTTTCTCTTTTTTTTTTTTCAAACCAGATGTTCTGAGTTCCACAAACCACTCTCTTTGGCACCTCTTAGAACTGCCCTCGACTTGAGAACCAGCGGTAGGTTTCATGAGCACCCCACCCAATCTGTCCGTATGTGAAGTTACGTCATACTTACAGGCTGAGGCTGCTCTGCAATACAGCAGTTGAAACACAGCCAGAATTCGCTCATGCTTGTAGTCCAAAGTATAAATGAGCACCAATCAAGTTCCCAAATCTCCACTTGGGAAGCTTCACAAACGCTCCTCCACAGGATGGATGGCCAATGATGTCAAATCACACCTGTATGACTGCTCTGTGTTTTGTTCCTGGAAGTCAGGTATCTTATACAGTCAATTTAATGAAGAACAAAGCAGACTATTTCCTTTCTTTGCTTGTGGTTCTAAAGGGACTCGTTTCAGAACCACCAGGGAGGTACGAAAATCGTCTTGACTCAGGGCCTATGACAGGTAGTCTAGAAAAAAAAAGAAGTAAAAGAAAAGTTACTTTACTTATCTTTAGAAGCTTTTATTTCTTAAATCTGCGATAAAATTAAGAATATTTCCCCCAAAAGTAAACACTCAAAAAAAAATCAAGATTTTAATAAACTGATATTCATTCAATAAATTTTAAGCACTCTGAGTATTAGCTGTTAGAGATATAGCAGCGAAAAAATAAAGAAATCCTTGTCTTCATAGAACGTTTTATTTTATGACTACAAAGTATTAATATTCTAATACGTTTCTTAAAATCACTAGTTAGAACACTATGATTGCCATACAAAAGTCTCTATACCAAAAGAAATATAAATATAAAAGAAATACCAATCACTTTAATATAACTTTCTTCACTTTCTTTGTTCTCATAGACAACCCAGATAGTAACTGCCATAGCAATCAACTCTTTCTATATAATCAATCAGCTATAGCTCATCAATAATTAGAAACAAAATTATTGACTCATTTGAAATTAGAATTGTATATGAAAGATGAATGGGGGCTGAATGGAGACATTAGATCCCTGCCCCCACCATCAGCAGAATAATTGTCAGTCAAAATGCTTTCTATCCCAAGGTGGCCAACCAAGCCGAGTCCATCAGAATCCATGTCAGGCAATTTTCCATCTGGAGTTGGACAGAGTAACCCTATCTTTTCTTCTTGACTGACAAGCTGTGGACTTGAAGGTCGACCCTAACCAACCATGTTCCAAACTTCATGCAGAAGATGGTTCTGAAAGTATAATGCTGACAAGCAGAGACGAGAGGAGGAAGGCTGGTTTCAGTCATCCCTAAGACAAGTTTGACCTGTGCAACTGAAGTTTGGTTTTGTAAGGCAACAGTTTTCCCTCTTTAGCCTGAAGCTGCACTGGTGTAGGTTCATATCACTTGCAGCCTGCTACAACCGTCAAGTGACAATGGCCAGTAGATAGTTAGACACACAGCTAGCTCTGAAGCCAAGGAGACATCTTGGAAGGAACCATCAGCAGATTACAACTGCAGCAATGAATGCCAAATTCTAGGGAAAGCAGCATCATGAGAGGCAAAGTGAACTCTAAGGAATAGCAGCATTTAAAAGATGAGTAGAGAAAGACAAGTCTACAAAGGAGCTTTGGGTGTTCTCAGAAAGAAAGAGGAGGAAAACCAATTAATGTAGTGTCACTGGAGCCTGTTTCAAGAAGGAAGTGAACAACAGTATTAACTGCCACTGAGGCAGCAGACTGAGAACTGTCCATCAGACTGTGCTGCAGACCCGTGGTGGCCCCGGCTTCAGCAGTTTTGGGGTAGAAATAAGATTAGAGTGGGCTGAGAAGTGAGTGAAGGGAGGGAAGCAGAGTCACCACGTGTAGAAAAGGTTTGCAAGAGACTGGATAAAAAATTTTGAAAGACAGGATGGTAGGCAGAGCAAAGGAAAAATGCCATCCTTGAAATAAAAAGATCCAAGACCAAAGACGTATTAATTTGATTATTCAGAGATGTTAACATTTTTGTTCCAAGTGGTAAAATATAAATCACAATTTGTAAATTTTGCTTTCCCCGAAGCTATGACTCTGATGAACTTGGTAAGACAGGAATGAGTTACTTGTACAGATGAAGATCTTCAGTAAAGATAAATGCACGCATGCTCAATGCATGAATGTGGGTCGTAATAAAGTATGAACCTGGGACCCTGTTCTACAAAGTCCAGAGTACAAGTCTTCTAACTACAGGAAAATGACATGTTACATTTTAAGCATATGTTCAAGGAGAAAGATCAAAAGGAAGAAACTTTACATTAATGCCATAGTTAAAATTTAGAACCTGGGGTGCTTATTTTCAAGCAGGGATGAGTATTCTTCATCTCACCCAAACTCCAAAACAAGAAGTGGCCGTCTTGAAATTGACTTTGTCCACTGAATTGGGTAAATACTGTAGAAGTTTATAAGCTCAAAAGAATAGCATGTTTCATGTTATTTCCTTCTTAGCTAGAATATAAGAGCAAAGGGCTAAATTTATAATATCATGAACATTATCATGAACGTGCTATTTAACAAGTTTAATTCCACCCTGAATCAAAAACCTTGCCATTAAGAAGTCATTATGAAATGAAACCTCTTAACACATTGTTTGCGGGAAACGAGTAAATTCGTCATATAGAGAAAAATGCCCGCAAACAATGTGTTAACTGATTCTATGGAAAAAAATATGCCCTTGTGGGAAACGGAAAATTCTTTATGCTCATCGATGTTGTACTACATTCAGATATGTAACTACTCTGGTGATCTGTGTACGTATCTTCACTACATACAGATATGGGCCTACTCTGGTGTTTCAAAATCTACTCGATTTTGAAATCTGATGCTTTAAAATGCTGTTTGATTTATTATATTATATTTTCTCATTTACATATAAAGCTAGGCAATTTCCCTTTTATTTATAAATTATATTTGCCAGAAACCGCCTTCAAATATTAATTTTACATTGGAAGGTGTTGTATTTTTTAAATACAAATTCCTTCTGTTTAATACTTAAAATTAATAAATGGCTTCCTAATTTGTAATACTTTTTAACAGCCCACATTTTCCCAAATTCAAATTTCCTTCCCATTTAAAGTTATTCCTCATTTTGAGAATTTTAAGATACATATTTCCTACTCCCATGTACTATGAAAATGACATTACAATATTTCCTCTTTTTTAATGTCTAGTGGAAGAATGTTTCAAATACAGTAATTTGAGCTTCTGTTTTTGTAGATGAGACAGAAAGGATACACAGCTTTACTTAACTTTTCCCACCTAGATAATTGATCTGCTGAACTGTATATTCAAACCAAGGGGATGTTTGCAACTCCACAGGTTTTTATTTATTAAGTAAATATATAAATCTTAAAATGTTTCAAACATGCCTTGGAATGTCATACCAGTATATCTTTTATCTTCTTCCTTTTCTAAACAAACTTCTTTTACAGAATTTTTTTTCAAAAGTGCATATACTTAAATACACTTAAAACACATTTATAAACACCTTTAGAGAAGTACTGAATTCGTCACAAAAAATTCCGACTTATACTAATAGTTATTTTCACTTCTTCAACTGAAAGCTGCTTAAAACATGTCCATTTAGAAATCTTTCTACATTTTTAAATCTTAAGATAACAAAAGGAGTGTCACTTTCCAACAACATCAACATCTGAACTTGGCTTTAAACACAGCTCAGCACATTCCACACATAAATAAGGAGTCAGACTGGTCTACAGCACCAGAGAGCATTTCACAAACTCATAGATTTTAGACAGAAGATTCTGGAAAAGCCTGAAGTGAGTTACCAGGCCATTTAGTGACTGGCAGAGCTTCCTTGAATTAAAAGCTTAGTCTAGACTTCTAAAGAGACTGACATGAGTAAAAAAGTATAATTGTAGTATCTCTGGTCTAAAGTAATAAGCACCATCAGCTTCCTCTCCTCACTTTCTGCACCTAAATCAAATGCTGAAGTTACTAGCTTTCCACCTGTATGAACAGTTTTGGTGCTGACTATTTAAAAAATTTATGTTCTAACATCCTACTTACAATTTAATAAAACTGTTTTTTTAGGCCAATTCTTAAGAAACAATAATAAGAAAGCCTTGATTTCAAAAACAGGACAATGAGGCATACCTTTTGCCTAATTATTTTTTTAAATCTGAAATACTTTAACTCAGTTGAGGTATTGAGCATGCTGTTTATGTGAAACAAAAATCAAAAGTTTAGAATTTATACTTTGAAATAAAAGATCTGTGCCAGTTGTTAGTACCTCACTAATTTGGGGGTATGTTAGCTTAGGCAAGTGACAGGCTCTATCACCAGTTATAAAATGCAATGCCACACTGCCAAGGTCACAAGTCTGAAAGGAGGACTAAATTAGATGACAGACTGTATGAAGGCACTGTATACATTACACAGAGCTATGCTTATGTAAGATGCTCTTATTTATCAGAATTAAAATAGCAAGCAGCAGAAAGAAGTAGCAAGAACAAGTAATTTGTAATAGCTGCAAACTTTTAGGAAACCTAAAAGTCTATCCAGGAAAAAAATGAATAAAATGAAAAAAAAATGAATTGTGGTATATTCATACAAAAGAATACTATACAGAATGAAAATGAATGAAAAAAAATTTTTCAAAAGAAAATGAATGGCAGCTTCATGTAACACTTTTGATAAATCTCACTGACATGTTATTGAGGGAAAGACCAAGACACAAAATAATATACATGGAATGATTCCATTTATATGAATTTGAAAAACAAGTTAAAACTATTTTGTTTGAGATGCATACATACTTAAAGCAAGGAAATTATTATAATAATAAGTCAGGAGAGTGGTGACATGTAGGGCAGAGACTGAAGATAGGAAGAGATGGAGGGCCCCTGGGGGGGCTAACAATATTCCACCTCCTGACCTGGGTGATAGTTACAAAACTACTTGCTTCTTAATTATTTACTAAGTAGTACATTTATGGTCTATGCAATTTTCTCTATATATTTTTAAGTGATAACAATTTAAATGAAATTTAAATGTAAAAGAAGCAAATACTAACAATTTCCAGTTGATTACAGTAACGAAGATCAGGGATAAAAATACAAAACACAGAATCAAGTAAAAATGAACATCCTTTGAAGGACTTGGTAAAATTATGGGGGGGGGGGGAGTCTGAAGTTCTATCAGATGCCAAAAGAGATTTCTGCCGGAAATGCAAAAATTATTAAACAACAACCAAGTTTGAATTACCAATAAAGCTTATTCATAGTTGTACCAGCACTTAATCTGCCCCAATCTTGTTAAAATGGTTCTTTGATATTGATTTGTACAAGATCCTTTTGAAAAAAATAACCCATTTTAAGAAGAGCTTTCAGACTATGTGCTTATCACAGATCTACCATTCTGTGGTTATTCAAAGTTTCAACACACCATTGTTCCCGGAACAGTTACAAAAGGCCTACAGATAGGGGTCATGTAACTATTGAA